GTTGATGAGGAAGAGAAAGAAAGAATCATAGTTGTAGGAAGGGAAGATCATGATGTTGAAGAGAAGTGGAGAACAAAGCTTTAATTGATCTTTTCAACATTACCGTCTTCCTTCCCTACTCTTTGTGGTGTTGTAATGCTGGAGGTCCGGATATTCAAGAACAAGATATCACGCAGAGCAATGAAGGTATCCTCTTTCTGTTTTACAGTTGTTTCTTTTAATTCCTTTTTCTTTCTTTTTTTATTTGTAGGGAAGGGTGGAGTTGGACYGATACATTCTTGGCTCCTTAACTTAACCTTATGGGTGCCATCAAGGGTGTCTTATCCAACTAGAGTAATGAACTGTTGCTTCAGATTCACGATATCAAATCAGCCCCCCACAACGTCCCACAGCACATTCCTGCCATGTATTGGGAATATCTCCCACTGATAATTCTAGAAACGATAGTGCCATCATCAAGAGATATTCCCAATACATAGCAGGGATATACTGTAAGACTCTGTGGGGTCTATCATGTGGGGGGCTGATTTGAACTCCAGACTCACCTTCGGGGGGGTGGGGAGTTTTTGCTCAATGATATTATTGCCTGGTTTCACTGCTTCTTCATCAGCTTTTCTCCAGGCCAAGAGCCAACCCCTCAGAGTTGGCATGGTGCTATCCATTCTAATGCTAAGACTCGGGACAAACCTTTTAGTTTCTCTCTCAAAACATCTTCAGACCTCCCCCATTTGGATCTGTAGTTTTAAATTTTGTTTTTGGTTCACATGATAAAATGTAAGGGCAAATGCAAATTTGTTGTGTAAAACTTAGTTCAAATTGATTATGTGCAACTTACGTCAGATTTTATTTTCTATATTTTGTTTCAAACTTCCAACAATATTGGGCTTTGACAAGGTTTTTTCTTCAATATTACAAGATGTAGTTGTAGGTATTCTTGGGTCTTAATATGTACCTTACGACCGAGGTCTTTCCATGCAGTCTGGATGGGCCAGAAATAAAGTGGGCTAGGCAGCCTATGAAAAGTGAACACGCTAGTGTTTCATATGAATGAACCCACATGGGACACACATTTAATGCGTACCTTACATAACATTGGCGAGACCTAGGGGTGGAATTGAGTCGAGCTGAGCCAAATATTTGGCTATTCGAGTTCAGTTCCTTCATAAATTACCAGGCTCAAACTCAAGCCTGAGCTTGATTCGAACTAGAGACTTGAGCTCAAACTCAGYTCGAGTCAAAAGTTTGAAAGTTCGAGCTCGGCTCGGCTCGAGCTTAGTTGCCTCTGATTGTAGGTCTCCCTCATTTGCTAAAGTGACGAACCGAAGTCTCCCCAGCAGCCAAGGTCTCCTCCAACTGTTGAAGTGCTGAGCTAAGGTCTCCCTAACAGCTGAGGTGCCGAGCCGAGGTCTCCCTCAATAGCTAAGGTGACACTATGTATATATATATATATACTTGATTAGGTCTACAAGCCTCACAAGCCAAGCTTTATTAAACTCGAGCTCAACTCGATTAGCAAATGAGCCTATATATTAGGCTCAAGTTTGACTCAAAACTTAGTTTAAACTGAACCGAGCTCGAATAGCTYGTAAACAGCTCTACTCATGACTACCCCTAGCGAGACTGGATCCTTATGAAACGATTCTCACACTTTACTCATAGGCTCTTCCTCTTGCAACCATGCATAACATTTCCGTATTTCTATGTTTTTATTTATGGGAGATATTTGTAATGCACAGCTCCAAGTGGCTGTAAGCATGTTATAAGTACAGTTTTGCGAAGACTGAATCTGATTTCAACACTGGCGTGTTCACCCTTGATAATTGAATTGCCTATCCCACTTTATTTCTAGCCCATACTGTCCCCTTTACACCCCGATTTCAACACTGATGTGTTCACCCTTGATTTCAACACGCCAGTGTCYATCCCTGTAGAGGTGTATCAGTGGTGGCTTCTCGATATGATACGTATTGACCAATGTATCCAAATTTTGAACCTTAGGCCATGTTCGGTTTGAAGGAAGAAGTAGGAAAAGGAAGGGAAATGTGGGGAAACYTTTACAAACCTTGTATAGGTTTTTCTATGTTTCCCTTCCTTTCCCTACCTTTTCCTTCAAACCAAAGATAGCCTTAGTGATCACAAAAAACAACAATGGCGGTTGGTGGAGGCATGTAGCAACGTCAACGGTTGTATACAAAGGGTAACTCTGGTTGAGAAAGAAAAGTGAGAAAGAAAGGACTAGGACATCAAAGAGAAGAGAGAAAGATCAATTCGATTATTAATTAAAATTCAAAGTAGAACTCTTTAGTCTTATCTTTTTTATAAAATAACACTTTTATTCTATATTTATATATTTATAATTTAAAGCCTAAAATAATATATATAATTATATGTATTATATTATATTAATACGGTTAACGATTTAGTTTGGTTTATAAAATTTAATAAACCAAACCTAAACAATAAACCATATTTTTCAAAATTATGAAGCCAAACCAAACTGTTTTTTATTACATACAGATCTAACCAAATCACAAATTTGATTTGGTTCGGTTTGGTTTACGATTTGATCACTCCTATAAAAGGGTTGTTTTCTTACATAACCCAAAGAAAAGCATTTTTTGATAAACACTAACAAAAAAAAAAAAATTAGGCTTCATGGGAGGAAACACGTAGTTGGCATTGAACTAGAGTCATTTCATGTGCTACCCCGTGTGGCCCCTTTTGGTTTTATAAAAAAGTTAAAGTCATATATATAGGTAATGTGCCAAGTTGGCACTTTCCTGCTTCCTRGTTTCTTCCTAAGGCATTTATCTTTTTTCTGGTTTATTTTGAATTTTATAATTTTAAAATTGAACAAAATAATTCAAGTGACCAATCACCTTTAAGACTTTTAGCACTCCTCGTTAATACATCATTATCTCTCTCTCTAATTATTAGTAAAGATTAATTATATTGAAATTGAGATATTCAATGATATATTATTACATTTAATAATTTATTTCCATTCAAAATTAATCAACCATAATAAATATAATTTAGTAAGTTACTTAAATAAAATAAAAATAATTATTAGTTATTGTTATTGATAAATATACTTTTATTAATATAATAAAAATAATTAATTAATAAAAGGAATAAGATAAACARAAAACTAATATCGATTTAAAATTAATATAAAACTTATACAAAATTATCAAACAATTATTAGTTTTATAATTAAATCTTATTAAAATTTTAAATTTAATAAAAACTTAATATACTTAAAGAAATTCAATTTTTACTAAATTTAAAAATTAATACAAAAATATTAATTTTAAATATAGTTTAATTATCTTAAAATTAATTTAAATTTCATTTAAAAAATAAGGAAATTTATGAAACCTCTTTGGGTTTTCTAACAATCCTATGAACCTCCCTAGTGTTTTGACCTTAACAAAACCTCCCCTATTGTTTTGAAAAAAGATGCAAATGCCTTCATTTCCTTAGCATTCTAAATAAAAAATGTTGATGTAATGCATTAATTCTACTTCACYTCAGCCTTTTTACCTTATTTTGTCCAAGAAGAGTAAGGATAATTATTCTTAAAATTTATCTGGAAAAATAAATTACAAAAGGGTAAGGTTGAAATTTTAAATTATGTATGATAATGCATTAACAATGATAAGACTTCAATGTCTTTGTTATCAAAAAGCCAAGGGAAATGAGGTATTTGCACTTTTTTTCTCAAAACTATAGGAGAGGCCTTTGTTAGGGTCAAAACACAAGGGGCGTTTATAGAATTGTTTAAAACAGGTGTTTTTTTATAATTTTACCTAGAAATAATACAAAAATAATAATAAACCAACAAAAATTAATAAATAAGTTTTTTTTTTCAAATTTATCTAGATAATAAGAAATTTGTCACTTTTAACTTAAATTATGATTGTTTTGTCATAAAACTCCATCTTCAATTTTGTTTTTCTATGATAAACAGCAATGAAACGAAACACCACTCTCTCATACGGTTTTTCACTCCCCAGCCGGATTGGATTTGGTTAGATCGGGTCTCTCATAACCAAACCGGACCRAACCCTACTAGTCGCCATTCTTTCTTTTTGCAGTTGCAGATACTAGTGAAGCTGCAAGTTGCCAAGTTCTGAGCCTTCTGATCTCTGACCCAAATTCAACGAAGGAGAAAGCAGAAAACGTAAAAGGTTGTTGAAGCACAGGTCTTACCTTCCATGGCACAGAATAGCAGGAAGAGGCCCAATATTCTAATGACGGGAACCCCAGGAACGGGCAAAACTACGACCTCATCTCTGCTGGCCGACGCGACGCAGCTTCGCCATATAAATGTGAGTGAACTGGTGAAGGAGAAGAATTTGCATCAGGGATGGGACGACGAGTTCGACTGTCATGTCATCGACGAAGACTTGGTATGCCATTCAAAACCTTAAAACCCTAGATTCCATTTTCTCTCTTCTGATAGCTTGTGATTGTTTGATTGATATAAAGAACTGGGTTCCTAGGAAAGTAAGTGGTTGTYATCTATTAATGGGTTTTTGCTTGTTTTAGTTCTTGGTTGTTCGTTTATAAGCTAAATTCGAAGATAGGTTGATGGAAAATGCTTTCGGGGAATCTTTGGTGACTCCTAGATGGTCAAAATTCATGATTTTTTGATGATACAAAGGGGAAATAATGCCTATGTTGTGGTTGGTGAGAGCATTCTATTTGTTGGATGTGCAAGTGATGACGAAGCTTCTTAACTTGGGGARTAGTGCAGTAGGAGAAGGTTGAGCTACTAGAGTTCCATTTGCTGAAACAGGTGAGGAAAGAAATTATAGGAACTCCCTTTTGTATAGGCACTTTGATCGTAGGGATAACTCGATAAGGTTTATAAAGGRAAATGGATATAGATGGTATTTGTAGGGAACATGGAGAAGGGCATTAGAACTCATCTGGCATATGAAGGATAATGGTTTAACAAATGTGAGATCAAAACCTTGTTACAGTACATCATGATCCTTCCACTTTTCTCAAGATTACCTCTCTAAATCARAAAGTCTACCACCTGAGAGGATTTTTTCTATCCTTGCCTAACCTGAACATGGTTAAGCCAGTTTGATGTGAAGCTGAATTGSTAACATCATTTAGAATTGAGGCCTTGAGCAACTTGACACAACCCAAATACAAGTATTTTCTTCTATGCCTTTGTGTATTAAGATATGTAAGGAACAATGATTGGAGTAGTTCGGCCTAATGATTGGATTCTTATAATGAGTGAGAGAAGATGAAAACTCAATTTCTATTGGTATGTAAATGTGGTCTTCCATGTTACCATCTTTCTACTTGATGAATTTCAGACTATCAACTCACTGAACTTGGCAAAAGGAACTTTTACTTTTATATCCAAGGATTGTTATTTTTATGAGAAAAATGTATCGAACTTCTTCCATCTAATTGATTCTATTATTACCTCTATATGTCTTGCATGTAAAATGCACTAGTATTAAGACATGTTATGTTGTGGAATCCACAAATTATGAGGAAGTAATGTTGCCTACAATCTACATTGTATAGGATTCACTAGTTGTAAGGATAAGGCTTATCTGCAAGCTTAAAGCTTTCATGCAGCCAAAATGCCTTGCTGGGGTCAAGTCACCAACAACATGACAGATGATCTATGTCAGGTTTGGTTTGTCAGTGACAGAGTAGCAGCATCATTGTCCCCTATGCATAGGCAAAGATGAATTCAGAATGAGAGCTAAGAAGACAGGCTTTGAAAAAGGAGTGGTTTATTGTGATTATGGATGTTGTTGTTAGAATATATATTACAGTTGATAGTTACTTTCAACTATCATCAGTGAGCCTCCAAAATTTAGTACTACAACAATAAACAGCTGGCTCTTCCTCATTTTGGCTGATTTACATCTCATCCTGGCTCTTTTTGCACAAACTACCCTGTCTTTCCAGTTTCTCACTGCCATTCCTAAACCAGTAATAATTCTCACAGGTCCAGGATGTAACACAGGTTATCTTTGACCATCCTTATGGGAGAGGCTCCCACTGGCCAACTGGAGGCTTAGGGGCCATTTGATAATGACTGAAGCAGCATAATTGAACAACTTATTGCTTTATCTTTTAATAGATAAAATAATTAAATAACAAATATTCAAGGGTATAATAGTAATCAACCCAGCTTCAGCCTGATCCATTAAGGAACTCGCAACCTACTTGATAACTTGTTTACTAAAAGACAAAGCAATATGTCATTATTCAGCCACTTCAGCTATTATTCATGTACTCCTTAGACTCGTTATTAGCAACTGAATGCCCATGAGCGCACAGATTCTCTTCCTTACTAATGATATGCATACACTGCCCTGTTGGGATGAGTCCCTGTACTAGAAAACACCTATTGTGGAAACTTCCAAAACTGCCAGCATAGCAAAGCCTTGCTGATTATAATCCTTCACCTTCATCACCTAGGAAATAACCCACATGATATCTTCTTTCCCTTATTGACTATTGAGTCAGATCAAAAAGGAAGTGGGGAATCATACTAAAGAGCCTTTGTATAGRGCAGTAGAAGAATAGTRCTCCATTTACTTGGTTACTCCAGACAGCAAATGTAGTCATCTTCAGTCCCAATATTTTTCTGAAGGTCTCCTGCTGGTTGTRGTGGAGACTTGGGATCGAACCCGCCTGTACCTGGGTTGGGGGGTGTATGGGCTACCCCCACTGCCTTCAAAAGAAATCAAAAATATTTTTCTGGAAAAAGGTAACTTGTATTGTAATAAAAAAAGAGGAAGGGTGTGCATGAGTGGATTGTACAAGGGCCTTG